GAATACTGCACTGGCGACTTCCGGTGCTTACTGTCAATCTGGCGATGCGTACTGCTGCACATCGATACATCGACTGACCTCGAGTAACAAGTCCCAAGTCCGTAGATGCAAGCCAATAGCACTACTTAACTACTTGCCTCTGTGACAGAAACAGGACGGCAGCGGAATTAACTGGTCGTCGCCATTATCAAGCGAACAAGGATAGTATGCCAAGCGTCTCATCTGTCTTCGGGGCATTCAGCGCCGTGTTGGCGAAGGCCCCTGCATGTCACCAGACCCAAAACACTTTTGGATGGCTTTGATGCTCTTCGGCACGACATCAACGTTCTAGACTCCACAAATCACTTCTCTCAGTTTCAGCAGGACGCGTCCTCCGAGAATCGTGAAGTTGGACAGGGCGACGGCATGCTTTGGCCCTTGCGAAGCCACAGGAATGGATGATCGCGGGAGCGAGCGAGCATTGAATCACAACTACGAAATGCCCCCAGTCATCCAGTCATGACTCTCGTGGCATCTGGACCACCATATCCTCGGGTTGCTGAGTGCCGTGCGGAAACGCAAGAAGAGCATGTACAACGGTACCTTCCACACGCCGCAGATAGAAAGCCCAAGGCGGAACTCAAGCCAGCAGGGCGTGCAAGTATTCCGCCCCCGCCAACGCCGCCACTTGCAGCCACCACGAGTCCTGCTGGACATGTCAGCTTGTTGTGACACTTTATGAGGTAAGAGAAGTCGGCCAGACCACATCAACAGCAGCTGGTAAAATAGGTGCTATGGCTCGCAAAGACAACAGCCAGTTGACGTCGCTCCGACTTCAAGATACGGCAGTAGCACAGCACGTGCAGCATGTGCCCATAGCCTATGAGCAGATGCAAGCTTTTCCCACTCCTGCAGATCCGTCTGGGAAGTCGAGTCAGGTGCTACGGCACCCCAGGCGGCGCATCGTCCGAGACGAGCATTTTGCTGCTGCATTTGCATAGAAGAATAGCGAGAAGACCCTTGGAGGGATAAAACTGCGATTCCGAGGATTCCCTCACTGACGTAAAAGCTGTACATCAACAGAGAGATCACGTGTTAAAACATGAAGGCATGAAGCATAAAGTACCCCGAGGCACGCTTCGCGTGGTCAGGGACCAAGGTCGGCTTGCTGGCACCGTCATTTGCAGAGTCCAGCGATCCGTAGCCGTTCGATTTCAGGAAGAACCTTGCTAGTCCATGAGCTTCTTCTCGAGGTGCTCAATCTCTTTCTTCTTCTTCTCCACCAGCTCCCTCAGCTGTTCCTTCTCCATCATCTTGTCCTCCACAAACTGCTTCAACTCTATCTTCGTAGTCTCGACTTCATTGATCTTCGTCTGCAAGAGGCGCTTGAGCTCTTCCACCTGGCTGCTGTCTTCAAGCTGCCTCAGCCTCTTCTCCACTCGCGACCCAAGCTCCGTCGTCTGCGCTTCTCCTTTCTCTGCCGCCTGCTTCAGCTCCTGCACCTTTGCTTGCTGCTGCGCCACGAACTGCTGGAGCTCCTGAATCCGCTCTTGCTGCTGGCCAATGAGTTTCTTTTGGTCATCTCTTTCTTTCATGTTCGCAAATTCAGCCATGAGCTTCTTGAGCTCGCCCAGCTTCTCCTGCACCACAAGCTCGCCCTTGACGATCCACTGGTCTTCATCGGTGCTCTGGACGTCATCGAGGTGCGCGATGAAGACGATGCAAGTGGCGTCCTTCACGAACTCCAACAGGTCGGGGGAGTACATCAGGATTACTGGTAGCAAGAAGAAGATGGTGCGGGCAAAAGCCTCGTTTGCCAGCCATGACATGAAGCAGCGCACTTTTGCAAAATGGTGCGGGCGCCGGAAGTCCTCATAGAAGTACGGGTGCCAGAAGGGCTCCCATTCAGCGGCCAAGAAGGACTGCTCCCGCAACCGCAACACCAAACCAACGACTGAGCCACAGACATACATGAACAACTGCTGCTCTGTGATTTCCTCTTCAATAAGCTTCTCTTGGTGGTAAACCGTCAGCAGCAGGAACATGTACAGCATCACCTGGAGTACAAAAACGGTGACGCACTCGAAGAAGTTCCCCACATGCAGGTCAGTGTAGACAGAGACTGGTTGCAGATGTTTGCGCTGTTCCGATTCCGACTGCTCCTTGGGCTTGTGCTGCAGCAATGCCACCCCACCTTGGTAGAGGCTGTAGATGAAAGCCTCCAGGACTGCAATGGCTGGCGAATGCTTCAAGGTGCTGTAGAAGAGGATGAACAAGGCAGCACTCTCCCAGAGAGTCGCCAATGTCAACATCATCTTCGTGGCCTGCACTACACCATGCTTCGACAAAGTCTTCTGCATGTCCTCTGGGTTAAGAACTTGCCCACAGAACATGCCTCTCAAGCAGATGGTGCAACATCCAAGAAAGCATGCTGCACATGGGGTTGTGCCCAGCAGCACTAGTCCAATGATGGTCTGCTGGTCATTGATCCAGTCCTCGCCATTGTAGCTCGACAATGATGGGGCCAGCCATAAAGACTCGAAAGTCCACGATGGCTCTGGAACTACAGGGTCCTCAACCTCAGTCAGCGTTGAAGTCGTGGATGCAGAGAGGGTCGATGTCGCGGTCGAGGTGGCCGATGATGATGTCGTGGAGGTCAACGATGTGGTCAAGGTCACAGAGGTGTCATTCGTGCCGTTGATCTGCTCGTCTACAGACAGAGACGGAGAAGCTACAGAATTGGCATGGCACGCGCAGTGAATGGCAAAGGCGAGACGGAGCATGCCTCACAGAGATATGCCTTGGAAGTTGCGGTTCTTCCCACACTTGAACCCGAGATGCAGGAGGCACAAAGCGTACCCGGGCCCCTGTCAGATCAAAGAAACGCAGCGCTTTCGGGAGGCCTGCTGCGGCCACAGCGAAGCAAAGGACATCTGCCTTGGAGAGGGCGGCTAAGCAGGCTGTCGTTGCTTCTGCATATCGGGATGCTGACTTCTTAGGTTCCTCCACAAACTGCGGAAGCCCTAGTTGACAAGGAGCATTGCGGGGCTTGAGGCCTTGAGGCTTCAGGCTTCAGGTCTTCCAGGCCCAAGCCCCGGGCTATGTCCGGAGGGAACAGCCCCTGAGCGCGGTGGCGCCGATGATTGCAATGTAACTCTCGGGCTTGGCAAGAAGAACCGACAGAGCGAATCCACTCCCGGACTTGGTGGTTGGTTGGAAACCGAGCACACTCTCACAGACTCGCAGTGCGGCAAGAAGGTTTGATTCGTCTGATCAAACATCCGAAGGTGTGGTTTGCGAGCAAGAACTCGCCGAAGCAACGAAGCCCGAAGGCGGGCCAAGTTTTATCATCTACCTTCTTTAGTATACATGACACAGATTGTTCAAGCATACCCCGCCATCGAACAAGACACGAAAAGGGAAGACTTCCTCATCTTCCTGGTCTGAGACCGTTGGTGCCTTGTGGTATGAGAACATGCTGTCGTCGGCTGCCACCCACAATGTCCTGTCAGCAGTGCTTGCAGCAGCATGCCGTATGCTCAGATTTTCGCAGGTCTCTGAGGCTTTGGGTTTCTTCAACCGCCGCTAGCTCTCGAGCCTGCTCTCTGCAAGCGTAATGTTGTTTGGCGGCGCCGGCGCCTGTGCAGAAACCCGGCCCGTGACTCCACGTCTCCTAGGTGCATGGGGGCTCCTGTGCTCTGCACGTGTTGAGTGACGGATCTTGCTTGCTTGCGGCTGCTTGCGAAGCTGACGAGAACCAACATGATCACTCGCAGATCAACCCTTTGGAGACTTTGGAGCATCATGGAGCCAGGCCTTCGTCAATCCGGCAAAGGCCTCGAAAGAAGCGAGCATAAAGGGCGGCTTAGCGAGCTTCTCCGGCGAACCCTCTCAAGGGAACAGGGCGGGGTGTTTAGGAGGAGGAAGCGACAAACGGTGCCGTAGCATCAGGGATTTCGGCACTTCTTAGCGCCCGGCGCCAACCGACAGCATGGTGGCGAACATCACGCCATATCTGCTGAAAAAAACACGAGCAACGCGTGGCACGACCACCTCTGTCAGACATCGCAGCAGGGACACGCTCCTGCAAGCGAGCATCGTCACAGCTTCCAGCCGGGAGTGTCAGCCGCCATTTGGGGTGGATGCATGTGCAACGGCATTGTGACACACCCACAACTGCATGTGGCAAGCAGCTGAACTGGTGTCTGCGTGGGTGTCTGTGTGTGTGACCATGCCTGTAGTGGCTGTGTGTCTGTGCGTGTGTATGCACACGCATGCCAGATGCTGAAACACACACAGCATAAACTTGCGAAGATGTCTCGGAGTCACCACGACTCACTGATCCAAAGAAGCAGGGAATCGGCACAGATACAAGCAACTCTTGAAGTGGACCTGGAAAGACCTTTTACTGCTGCTTCCGGTAAAGTTGTCATGCTGGTTGCAGACTGACTTTCGCACATGCGATTCGGATGATGATGGCGCTGGGCGGTGTTGGTCATGGCGGTGGTGACTTTCTTCTGCGTCACTGTCAGTCCCATGACTGCTGCGATGCATTTACAGTTACGAACGCTGTTGCTTGCTGCCGTTCTTCGTGATAGATGCCGCTTGTCTTGTATTGATTGAGAACAGGAATCAGATTTAGTCTTCGTCGCCATCAAACATCAACGCCAAACATCACCAGCAACAGCATCGTAAGGCTTTCTGCTACATCACTGCATGGCGTTGCCATCAGCACCGTCAACACCGTAGACATCAGAGTCATCATAATCAGCAGCAGCAGAAGCAGCATCATCATCATCATCGTGAGCACCACCATCTGGCACTACACTTCCTCTCCCATCCTCAGAAAAAACGGGCCTTAGCTGATGCCGAATGCCCGGCTCTCTTCTAAAGCGCTTCAATCCTTTCCGAGCGTGATGCGGCCAGAACAACGCGGTCAGCGCATGGAGTGTTACACTCCAGGTTTTGGAATCACAATCACCTAAAGGTCCGGGGCCGCTGTCAGCTGAGACATCGCTGGTTCATGGCTCTTGCCAAACATATAGAGAGTCGCAGGTAGCGTAAGCCAGGAGGCCTTCGGCAAAGCCCAGTGCACCGTGCACTGGTGTGCTGCCGACGCTCTGAACCAAAGCTTGCACACCGGTCACCGGATCCTTCGTCAAGTTCGATGGGACCTCATCACCTATCAAGGCACCGTGGACCACATAAAGCTTCCCGTCGGCGCGCCCGACAAAAACGGCACCATCTCCAGCGATGACCGGGGCACTCCACTGCGCAGGCAGGCAGAGCACGCAGAGTAGGCGTTCTGAGACCTGCGGGTGCTTGTGGAAATATCTCAGCCTTTCCTCATCTCCGGCTGCCAAAGGAGGAACGTACGGCTCTGCATTGAACTGCCAAAGCAGGGATCCGGTCTCTGCATCCAGGGCCAGCACACTTCCCGTGTCGACTGCCTCTTTGGGCCAGGCGCCGGCAGCCACCACGACAGCCAATGCTTCTGCGCCCTTGACATGACCGACAGCTGGGAAGGTGCAACAAGGATCCTTCAGAATGTGCTCCCAAAGCAAATGGCCGGAGTTCAGTGTGAAAGCACGAACGACCCCCGGTGTTCCCTGCATCCCATGCTCAATGTTGCTACCTCACAGCTTCACAGCGGCTCCGATTCTGAAACACTAGGTCTCCGTGGTGTTCTCGTTCCGAGGAGTGCAAGGATTCGCAATGGCAATAACTCGGGGTCTAGAGTCTAGAGCCTTTCGTATGGGGTGTATGAGCCAAGGAAATGTGCTTAAGAACCGAAACCCAGATGCAGGCATAGACCACGCCATTGGGACCGATGACTGCGCCCCCGTCGCTGTAACTGTCGCTCCTGTTCGAGTCTGCCTTCCAGAGAAGGCTGCCATTGTGCAAGCCGACCTCCGGGAGGCTTCCAGGCACGGATTCTTAGAGTAACCAAAGGGCTCTTTTGGGACGTTTAAGACTCCTTTCAATGCAGCTTCTTGGGAGTTCAGGGTGAGGCCTGCGGAAAAAGTGACTGACGCCAGTCTTAATCAAGGCACTCGGTAGACGCTCCCATCCTGGCTCATGAAGACGAAGGTGTCATCGTCCGGAAAGAGAGGTGTTAGGTCCATCAAGACGGTGTCGGACTCGTAGTCCCAGAGCTTCTCCCCGGTGCCCACGGCCAAGCCGAAGATGTGCGTGTTTCCCCAGGGCGCAGAGTCCGAGGAGCCTTCGCACCTGGACCGTTTCAGGAAAAAAACATCTCAGGCTTGTAATCTACTTCCCCCCACCTACTGGACGCGACGACGAAAACTCCGCTCAGCGCTGCCGGGTAGGCGGCATCTGCTCCAGCATCCTCGGCCACGCGCGTGACCCAAAGCTCCTCCCCGGTATGCCGGTCGACCGCGAAGACTTTTCCTGTTCCAAAAGTCTCTCCCCTCACTGCGCCTCATCAGCATATCAATCTCATCCTCGTCGTCATCGCTGTCGCTCTCAGTTGTCATCCTCGCTATCGTCGTCACCACCGTCACCATCAAACAGCAGCAGCGAAAAACTGCAGAAACGCATTGCCTTTAACGAACCCGGTGCCTTCGGTAGTCGAGCTCAAGAGCATGTCACCAGTCAGATAAGGTTCGTTGGCAGATTTTCCCGGGGTCGTATAGTGCCAAAGCACATTGCCGGACGGTGAGAATTTCCAGAGACCATGTTCAGTCATCAAGTACATACACCTGTCCTTGTCGATCACAGGTCCACCTCGGGGCCGCGTGCCACGGAGGTCATGTTTGAACCGTTAAGGATGTCGTGGGACCTTCTTCTGCCTATGACTGCGAACGATCGGGGGAGTTAACGGTGAAGATACTTCTCTCATGTTACCCGACGCATTACCAGCAACGGCTGGCACAGCTGCGACAGCGGTACAAAAGAGGAAGAGCTGGAAACTTGCTGTGTCCCTTTGAAACTGTTGTGCCAGCGCATACCCCAAATAACAAGACGGCATCGAGCATTCCAAACTCCAACATTCCAACACCGCGCTGTCATGGGGCCACGACTGACCATGTGCACACAACGAACCTTCTGCCCTGTGGGACAATGTGTGGCTTCGTGAGGGACTTGAACATGAGCAGGGGACTGTGAAGGCGGCATCTCCACCAAAATCGCGCAGGACTCTGCCGGCACGATTCGTGAATCCACTGCACGACTGCAATCCAAGTATGTCCACTGCGAACGAATGTACCTCAACCCTCTTCACATCGAGTGCAAGAACCTCACAGCCTGTGTAGGATCTTTCTACAATGGTCCGGCACCAAACGTCTCCAAACATTTGGCACCCCCGCAACCGCCTCCTACCATGTCCTCCCACTGACCGGCTGGGTTGTGCCAGCTCCAGTTTGCTGGACGACCACCTGGCCTGGTGGGAGAGGTTAGGGTATGGGTAGGGCGGTTCTACTTATTCAGTTGTATGGCTCTTGGATTTAGCGTTGGTGGGTCGAGAGATCATGAAGTCAGGAGGCAAGTGGGATACCACCTCGGTGGTCCCTCGCTGCCCCGGCACCTGATGTTCAAATCACAGCACAACGACGTTTTTGACTTTCCAACCCGAGCCCGGGGCCTTGCCCCTGGCATGTGGCCACGGATGCTCTTCGAGTGCAGCACGCTGCATGGAAAGGCCAACCTCGCAGCAAGCGCTGAAGAGGTGGCGGAGCCTCCCTACGTCCCTGCGTGCTGGCCACGCCTGAAGAAAATCCCCACAGCTGCCTGGCTCGCATGCTCGTGCGACGGGCAGCAGCAAACTGGCACCGATGATGACGAGCTCCATGGCAGAGGCAATCGCAGTTGTCCAAATCAAGAAATACTTGCTGACAATAGAGAAATCGCACGCTGAAAAGATCTTAGCATGTAGCAGCAATGGGTTCATTTATGGATGCCTCGAGGGTTGTCGAGGCTGGTGTGCAGCGGAATCAATTCAAATCTGCATGACCTCTGAAACGATCGACCATCGAAACGTAAGCTGAAACTCCGACCAAAGCGTCTAGCTTGACTGATCTTCATGCCTTGTATTGGCAAATCGAGGCTAAAACCTCGATGCCTCGATGCTTCCAGCATCCCGGAATACCTCATAAGTGGTTGGGGATTTGCCATTGCCACACGGCATGCGAAGAACAGCTGCGCTCTCCATTCTACTTCGAACATACGAACATGTGCAGAGTGGACTGACACTTTTTTTTTCGCGCGGAGATTGCTGAGAAATGCAGTGCGGAGCGAGGCATTGCTCGTGTGGGATAATTTGGGCAAGCGATGCCGAGCATTCCCCCAGGGTGTGGAGGGTGGGTGAAAATTTTTTAGCATGCGATGCTAGAAATTTGAAGCTAGTTGTGTCTGCTAGTGCCGCAAAGCAAGGAGGCCCAAAGAGAACATCTGCTGACACGAAAATAGAAAGCACAATTGACCACAAACTCACAACTAGCGTTCTCTATTCCACTTCGAAAAAACGAACAAGTGCAGTGCGGACTGACACTCGTATTGCGCGGATTGCTAAAAAATGCAGTGCGGAGCGAGGAATTGCTCGCTTGGGAAAATTTTGGCAACTGCCGAAGATTCCCCTTCTTTGGCTGCATCCCAGCAACTCTTCCACATCTACTCACAGTTGTTGAGTGTACCAGGCGAGGCAAAAGTGAACGCAGCTGGCGGACCGAAAGAAGGAGAGCATTGCGTACTGTGGCGTCTCGCAGCAGTTTAAGCCAAAAAACGCGGATGACAGCTAAGGCGTCTGCCGCGCTGTAGCAGCGCATCCTGGGCGCCGAACGGGCATGTGGCTGTTCATGCGCGTGGGACTTTTTGAGAGCTGAAGTGCTGGAGCCCGGCTATGTTAGCGTGCAGAGATTCGCAAGCTCCGAAAAACATTTCTGAAACACAGGTAACGTTTCAGGCAGGCTTGCACTGCTCCAGCACTTCACCTCTCTTTTCACCGTGTTGGATCTGTAAGCTTCGCAGCCGAAGCTGGCAGATGCTGCAAGGCAGTGTCCAAAAAGGAAAACACCTCCCACGTTTTCTTGAGAAATCTAATCGGTGACAAAGTGTAAATGATAGCAACTGCTTCTGCTTCGCTTCGCACTTCGCATCCAACACGGTACTTTTGCGTCAGGCTTCTCACAAGCTCTGGTTACTGTGAAACTTGCTCACGGCGAGTTGGACCACACACAGTGGTTCTTCTTGGCCACAACTTCTTCTTTTGTCTTGACCATACAAGACACAAGCTTCGGCCAAAACACCGTCCTCAACTACTTCTTGAACCTACACAACGAAGTCGTGCGCTGAGTCATTGCACACTGTTGCGTGAATCTTCTCAGAGTCGTCACACGCTGACAAGTCGCGGCACACTGCTGAAGTTCTCAAACCCTCACAAGTTTTTTTGCTCTTTCAGCTCTTCAGCAAAACAAAACGTGCCATGCGAAAACAAATTCGTAAGAAAAACTCTGCTGCTTCTTTGCAACAAGCGAAAACGACAGTCTGTCCTGAAACTCTTTTAAAACACTTCCATCCACATGATGAGGTGTTGATTGCCTCTGTAACATTTCCACATTCTCCGCAAGAGACTGTTCAAAAATGCTTGGAATCTGTTTTTGCCTGAGCAATCTTACAGAGCTGTCAAAACACTTCTAGGCTGGTTTCTCACCTGTGTCTCAGCTGCTCAACCCTGTGAAACGGATATACAAGCATGTTTTTGTTGTTTTTTGCAAGCCATCAGGGCCATGGAAACGACGAAATCCTCTCAGACAAATTGACTCTGCATCGCAGAGTCTTGTCTGAAACCGTGCAAATGCATGGGATGCAAGAAGCAAAGACGGTCTGGAATTTGTGCAAGAGCGGTTGCAAGAGAAATGGAAAAGCTCTACAAGGGCCGTTGAGCCTGGCAGTTCCAGAAGATTCAGGAGCGGTGCAGCAGGATCTCTTCTCACCTGCAACCAGCTTGGTGAAGGCATCTCAGAGCCAGGGTGGAACGGGGCAGCTGAAGAGCCGCAACGAATGTGGGCTGCTCAACTTTCTGCGCGTTCCGAACGGACAGGAAGTGGTCCTTCGCTGAAGCCGACGATGGCGCAGCCCAGAGGTGCCTGTCTGACTTGCTCAGCTTCGCGCACACGCTAAGCCGCTCGTGCTGCCCGTCTGGGGTTTCAAGGAAGGCTGCCCGGGACAGATGCCGTTTACTGGGCTTCCTCCGAGTTAGACACTCGCCGTGCTCTGTGATACGTCTGCAGCAGCAGAGCGGTTCCCTGCCTTGCAGCGGCCACTGGAGAGACTGGTGACTCGTTTCGGGGCTGGCAGGGGCCAGTCGGGCCTGTGATGAGCGCAGCAACCTTTCGTCGTCTCTGTGTCTTGGTCTCTTCCAAGCCCGGCTGTTTACGGTCCTCTCAACTTCGGACGTCGGCCTTTGTGGCACGGGTTAGAAGACAAGCCAGTTGCTACTGAGGCGGCAGCTCAGAGTTCTTTCAGAAGGTTCCTGTCTAGCCAATCGTATGCTAGCGTCAATCAGGCAGGTTAGTGGAAGTTGCTGGACGCCAGCGAAGTGGAGTTGAGTTAGGTTAGAAAGGCGTGCGAAGCCGCGTGGCAGGCAGCCTGCAAGCTGCTCCAGAGAAGATCAGAAGAGACAAGAGAAGCATCGACAGCGAGCTGGGCTCCAGGCTCCATGCCCAGAGGAAGACCATTGCACCCGCCTTGCTTGCTGACGGACACGCTGATGTTCATGTCAGCGACGCGAAATTGCATGCGACACGGCCTCAAGCGCACAAACGCACGACAAGATCCGGAAGTACGGCAGCAAGGCTGATCGGCAGCCCTGTCAATGACAATGCAGACACCAAGCAAGGCGTCCTTCCTGTTCAAACATCCCAGAAATCGGTGCGGAGTCCTGCCACTTGGCAGGTGCTTCGCGCCATCATACACAGGAGAGAAAGGCTGCGGGCCTCGCTCGGCAAGTGCGCGCCATCAAGTGGGCTTCACGACTCGGACTTCTTTCGAGCTGCGGCCACCAGTCCGCACTTGTCACGCAGGCCTGGGCGTTGGAATGGCCTGCCTGCCGTTTTTCTCCATGGAGCTGTTGGGCGACGACCTCCCACTCACGCGTCTGCGACCGCCGCTGTCGGTCTGCGTCCCACTTCTGCGATAAGCCATTGCCCTTGCCTTTGCGAGGCCCACCAAGATGGAAACCTGGACGTGGGCGATTTTGCAATGATCTGGGCCCGTCATTCTCTGGGGAGTACTGTGTGAGAAAGTTCTGTTTGCAAAGTTCACATGTTTGCGAGCGTTCCACTTGTTATTTTGAGTTTTGAAGGAACACCGGCAAAATGCAAAACAGAGCTGGCGAGGTTTATATACTGTTGCACGCAACGGCCAGCTGTGCACGCAGAGCATGTGGCATAACTGGGCCCCAGAAATGGCTCCCACATCTGAGCTCGAATCTGGGGCCCCGAATTGCGTGAGCTTGTATGTCCAACGAAGAAAGCCAAAATCGGGAGCCCCGTTTCGGTGCCCGGACTAGAGCTGCTTTTTGGAACCCGTTTCAGCTGGAAAACTGCACGGAAAAACAAAATTCCTTCCGCATGCTGTTTGGATCAACGTCCAAGAAAGCCAACATGCTGTGAAATGTGAGATACTTTTGGAAAATTTGCCAAACTTGCCATCGGCTGCCGTTTCAAGACAAGTGCTTCTGTTCTTGTTCGTACAAGATCTTTCCCGCACAGGGGAGGCCCTTCGAGGCTTCCTACGATTCTGTAGGAAAAAAGAGCTCCTGCAAGTGGAGCTTCCCAGCGCAAAAACAGCCCACGTACAGCAAGCAATCGAAACAGTTGAAGCTACAAGCTGAGATTAACATCTGCCAGTAGATGCCGCAAAATCCTCGCATCAGCGTGCCAGCATTTAGCCGCAGCAAACTTATCAAGAGCATTACCACAGGAGGGCGGCGAGCCTCATGTGCATCAGAGGTGAGCCTGTTTAACGTCTTTGGTCTCGACCCAAACTGCAGATAGCAGACGTGCTTTTTGCAGCCTTACTTCAAAGCAGCAAATCCAAATGCAGCGCAAGATGTGCGATGGAACTGGGCCACACCTGCAGCCACTGTCCTGAACATCTTCTTCAGTTCCACTCTTCTCTGAAACATAATGCGCGAGCTGGAGAAACCATGGGAACCCACATGTACCCCACAGGGAACCGAGCTGACACACTCAAATGCTGCAAAAACCCGGGAACCAAACAGAGAACCCACCGTATCGACGGTGAAAAACCATGGGAACCCACTTAAAAATGCTGCAAAAACTAGGGAACCCACAGGGAACCCACCGTCCATGCTGCAAAAACCATGGGAATCTGCAAAGACAGCTAAGTGAAGAACATACACAGACCACCCGAGATGCTGCAAAAAACCAGGGAACCCATATGTTGCCCACCTGAAGTGTTGCAAAAAACAAGGGAACCCACAGAGAATCCACCGTCGATATTGTTAAAAACCATGGGAACCCACTTAAAAATGCTGCAAAAACTAGGGAACCCACAGGGAACCCACCGTCCATGCTGCAAAAACCATGGGAATCTACAAGAAAGCTAAATGAAGAACATACACAGACCCACCCGAAATGCTGCAAAAAACAAGGGAACTCATATGTAGCCCACCTGAAGTGCTGCAAAAAACAAGGGAACCTACGGGGAACCCACCCCATCTGCTGCAAAAACCAAGGGAACCCACTTACACACCCTTTGGGTAGTATAACACTATTAGAACGGTGGAAGGTCCCAGACATGCCGGAGTCAATCAAACTCAGTTGGCAG